GCTCCCCAGCACAGTGCTCACAACGGTTCCCCTGCAAAATTGATTTATGGGCCATGGAAAACGCCCAAGAGACCCTGACGAGGCACTATCCTCTCCGAGGCCTAAGCAATCAAGGAAGGGTTTACCTAAAGGTGGGAGAGGCCCCGAGGAATGTATCTACTCAATAGCAATTCAAAATCGTTTCGATCCTCTAACGGCCCTTGAAACAACTTCAAAAGATGAGGCCCCTGAGACGCTACAAATTGGAAAAGCCAATGGTAACACAAATGGGGATGGTCCCTATCCGAAGGAGGTGTTGGTAGCCGAATCTGCGGACTGCACAGGTTGTGAGCAACTCCATCTAATAATTAGAACTCTAAACTGTATATTTAAGAAAATTGATGGCCTATCCTCTCAGCTGCATAGCCTTCAGCAAAAACTGGATGACCAGCTGGCCTGGGGAGATAAGAAGCCTCTCCCCTGATGGCATCATGTCCTGATGATGCCCTGCTTGGTTACCAGAGGTGGTATTTTACGTAGGTTAAAGGCTGGAACGTCAACCAACCAACCATTCGTGTTATTTGTATGCCCCCTTTCCAAAGTCAAAACTGTGCTCAAGGTGGCTTGCAACATATATATAAATTAGAAACCTATAAACATAGCAAAAGTAGTCATAAAAAGTGAACAAACAAAACATCAAAACCGAGTGCAGCGTTACCTGATTCTACAGCCATGGAACATGCCAGTGTCCGTGAAATATGGACAAACGAGGGTAGTCTTCACACCACTGACTCTCTTGGCTTTCAGCTCATGGCTCAGAGCTTCATGGAATCCAACCACGGCATACTTGCTAGCGCAGTAACCCTGAGGAAACAAGCAACATTTTCCCGTTTACATGCTTAACTTAATAATAATAATAATAATAATAATAATAATAATAATAATAATAATATCTTTATTGTCATTGCCCCCTTCGGGGACAACGAAATTACTTGACTGCTCCATAAAAACTCTAATTAATCAATACAGTATAATACAGCAAGGGAGATTAGATGACTTTCAAAGTCCGGGCTTCCCATTCAGGGCCGAGATCGCTCTGGAGAAGAAGCTGTTCTTAAGACGGCTCGTTCTTGTCTTCATCGTTCTGTATCTCCGTCCCGACGGCAAGAGCTCAAGAGACAGTGACCAGGATGCGATGGATCTTTTACTATGTCCAGTGCCTTCCTATGGCACCTTGTGGCATAAATCTGCTCTAAGGTGGAGAGTGGGCAGCCAACAATGCTCTCTGCTGCCTTAACAACCCTGCACAACCCCATCCTGTCCTGGGTAGTACAGCTTCCGTACCACACACATAAGCCATAAGTGAGCACGCTCTCAATGGCACAGTGATAGAAGGCAAGCAGCAGTTTCTGGGGCAGTTTAGGGGCTTTACCACTGTTTTAGTAAGACCCTGCAATGAGAGAGATGCCCTGCATCATTAGTGATGCTTGGCCTTGGGAACCGATGGATTATAGACATAAATCATGCAAATGTCAAAGTGGCAATTTAGCTTTTGTGAACTTCCGTCGACGTGTCGCTTACCAACCTCCAGACAACCTGTTGCAAAAAGTCCAAATGATCCTGCGACTGTCACAATGTGGCCATGATCTCTCTCAATCATTTGTGGAAGAAAAGCCTTGACTGTCTGCAAAAGGGGATAAGAGAGTTTTGATTATACTCATGTTTCCTTTTTGTGTGTTCAGATTTGCAACTAGTAAGCAGCAGTTGTAATGTTTGAAGGCCTGCTTTGCAAAGGTACCAGCAGAATATAAGAACAAATCTGTTTAGTTTCTTTTATTAGAAATATGTAAACACACACGCGCGCACACACACACACACACTACAACTGTCCTATTAAATATATCATTGTATACACAAGGGTAATATTTCTTAATTTTGACTTCTTCTGAGCTTAGCTCTTATTCATACCAACTTTTTTTTTAAAAAAGCTACATGTATTTCATCAGTATTTTTTTATTATTTTAGAAATAGAGATCAAAGTAGCTCCATTTTCTTTCTATAAGCAGAAATCTGTTTAGTTTTTTTACTGTTACAGGATACAATGTAGGTAAAATTATTGGTGGCTATTAGTAGTAGTAGTAGTAATAATAATAATAATAATAATAATAATAATAATATATTTATACCTTGCCCTTCTAGCTGAGTTTCCCCAGCCACTCTGGGCAGCTCCCAACAGAATATTAAAAACATGATAAAACATCAGTCATTAAAAACTTCCCTAAACAGGGCTGCCTTCAGATGTCTTCTAAAAGTCAGATAGCTGTTTATTTCAATTGACATCCGATGGGAGGCCCTTCCACAGGGCGGGAGGTTTGATGTTTTATCATGTTTTTGATATTTTGTTGGGAGCCACCCAGAATGGCTGGGGAAACCCAGCCAGACCAATGGGGTATAAATAACAAATGATTATTGTTATTGTTATTTTATTTTCAAGTTGAACAAACCCAAGCTTAATGCAGACAAGATGCAAACACTCTGGCTTGGAGTGACTGGAGGTCTCTGTTTTCCAAATATGTTCTAATTGTTCACCTAGAAAGAGGAGGAGTCACCACAACTTTGCTTTCATCCATGTATTTCCCAATTTCCCCTTTTCGTCTTCCAAGTAAGAAACATTAATGCCTATTCAAAGTTCCTTCAGAAATTTGAGTCTTAATGGCACATGTGACAAGGATAAAAGAGTGTAACGAGATTAGTTTTCATTGCAATCCTCTTAAAATTGCCCTCCATTTGATTGTCTCTCCATCTTTTCAGGCTCTGCAAAGTAGGATTAATGAGAGCCAGGCCATGTTCTGCAAGACGGAACTGATAAGCTGCTTTTCAGAATTAGCTGCTGCAAAGCTACCCATCCACACTGCATGAGTGAGCAGGGCGAACTTGATTGAATAATTACAAAATATAGCCCTTTGCATAACTCCTTGGTCATATCCGCACCATGACTTTAATGTACTCTTCTACCACTTGAACAGTCATGGCTTACCACCCTGCCAAGAAAAATGGGAACTGTTGTTTGTTCAGGGTGCTGAGAGTTGCTAGGTGACCCCCTCTCACAGAGTTAAAATTTCCAGCAGCTGTAACGAACTGCAGTTCCCAGGTATGTGTTTTTTGAAGCAAGTTAGGGCACTTAAAGTGGTATAAGAGTGCTTTTAATGTGTAGTTGGGATAAGACACTTTATGTGCCAAACTGTATGAATATAGCATTGAACTTGCCAAGCAAAGATCAGAAATTTTGAGAAGAATTCAACATAGCACTATGGTGTTCATTCCACCAGCACAAACATTTCAGCTTTCCAGATTGTTATAAGATGTACATTTTTTGTTTCTTCAGCTTGTAAACCGCCTTGAGTATTGTAAGATAGAAAGCCAGTATACAAATTAAAAATGATGATGATGATGATGATGATGATCCCCCCCCAACACCTCACATGTGCTGTTCTGGGGTTTTCCCCGACAACACCCCACAAAAGACAATTTGTGAGGGGCATCAGGATGGGGGGGGGGAGCCCTGTTGCACTAGTGGAAATCCTTCCATGGGATTTTTCGTTGTGCGATCTGTTAAGAAGGCAACGGCCTTCTGCAGGGTTAAACTATTATTACAGATTTTAAAGCTGTTTCTAAGGCCAATGTTTAAATCCGTTTATAATATTTTTAGTCAGTTGTATATTTCTATTCATCGGTGTTATCCTATGCTACATTGAATATTGTGATAGAAATATCAGAAATTTCATACTTGAAACATATAACATCTGATATAACTAATGTGTTTTGAGCCACATACTTCATCATTTGCTGAGAAGCATATATCAAGAGTACACCCATCACAAAGTAAGGAAAAGAATGAAATTGCTTAAACTAAAGATGAAAATAAGAATATTATTCCACTGATGTTTCCCAAACTAATTAATCTGGATTCTAATGTACTAACACTGCCATTCCCAGCCACCATTAATCAAACATATTAGAAAGGCATGCCAATAATCTATGAACATCTATCACCATTGTCACAGTTGTATTTATGGTCTAATTAGCCAGTGCCATGGATACAGTTGGATTGGGAGGAATACTTCCCCAGTCAAAGAATTGCTTCTATATGCATCTTCCAAAGGTGCAAAAAGGGGCACTCTCTTCTGCTCCCCATCCCCCGGTATTTTCACAGCTGACACAGATGCTCTCTGCATGGATGTTTTGCACTCCAGGTGGTTGCATAGTTCATCTCCTCAGCTGGGCTATATTGACCGTCAAGAGCTGCAAGTTCACAATTCAGCCTTCCTCTCATTCAGGAGCCTGAATACACACTTACCCAAAAGTGAGCATGGCAGTTAGTCCTCATGGTTCTTTCCAGCAGTTCGTCAGGGCACTGTAAGATGGGCTTTCCAGCTACAATGCCAGCATTATTGACCAAGATTGTGACATTGCCCACATCCTTTCTCACATACTCGGCAATGCTATAGACTTCTTCCTTCCGGCTCACATCGCAAGTATAAATGTAAGCCTTCGCTCCCAGCTTGCGAACTTCCCTGGCTGCATTTTCATTGCCTTCGGTATCTATATCCCACAAAACAAGTGTTGCTCCTCGTCGGGCAAATTCCAATGCAAAAAACCTCCCAATGCCAGTTGGGCTGGCTGCACCTGTTATCAGGCAGATTTCATTAGTGACTCTTTTCTCTGCAGGTTTCTTTACCCACCGAAGCAGAGCATGGATGATGTAGCCAAATACTTTAGCTGTAAGTATAAGAAAGTCTAAAAGCACAGACATTGTCTTGGATCTCTGGGGAGACAGTAATAAGAATGGAAGCTCTGTAAGGCTAGTGCATTGAGAAGCCTTCGGACAATGCAATCCAGACATGCTGTATTTATGGGGAAAGTAAGATTTAAGAGATTATAGCAACCACTACCACTAAGAAGGTGGAATTTGGACAACAATGAAGGCATTTCGTCAGTAATTCCCAAGCGGCAGGCTGGTACACGCTAGCTTGTAATGAAAGTACTGCTAGTAGGCTGTGATGGCAAAGCAATGGATTAAGAAACTAAAGTGGAGGAGACTCTTGAGAGTCCCATGGACTGCAAGAAGATCAAACCTATCCATTCTGAAGGAAATCAGCCCTGAGTGCTCACTGGAAGGACAGATCCTGAAGCTGAGGCTCCAATACTTTGGCCACCTCATGAGAAGAGAAGACTCCCTGGAAAAGACTGTGATGCTGGGAAAGATGGAGGGCACAAGGAGAAGGGGACGACAGAGGACGAGATGGTTGGACAGTGTTCTCGAAGCTACGAACATGAGTTGGACAAACTGCGGGAGGCAGTGGAAGACATGAGTGCCTGGCGTGCTCTGGTTCATGGGGTCATGAAGAGTCGGACCTGACTAAACGACTAAACAACAACAACAAGAAGAAACTAAAGACTCCTATAAGAACAAAAAACCGACAACGAGTCACTGTTGTGGCCGCTCAGTCTCCACTGGAGGGGGACAACTTTGTCTAGTTATTCCATTGAGAATGATCGGATCATTCAGTTGCACCCAGGAGTGGCTGCTGCTATCCTTGGGGACTGACAGGTGAAAAGCAGGAGCCCAACAGTAGGTGGAGCAACAGCCAATGTGAGGCACAGCCAACTAATTCTACTTTCGTTCCCATCTTCCTTCCTGCCAAGTTCTACAAGGGCAACACAAGGGAAGGAAGCTGAAGGTCAGTGCCCCAGCGGCGTAGCGTGGGTTGTCAGCACCCGGGGCAAGGCAAGTAATTTGCGCCCCCTAACCCGGGGCAAGGCAAGTAATTTGCGCCCCCTAACCCCTAACCTGCCGCCGCTGCCAGCTTCTTTTTGCTGCTGCCTGGTCTGGTCTGGTGTGGTTCTCTCCCGCGCTCAGCGCTGCGCTGGGTGGCCGCTGCACTGTCCCTCCCCCAGATAGTCCCTCGCTCTCTCTCCGCACCGCACGCCTGGCACCCACCCCCTCCACAGTGGGCGGCGACCCAGCGGCTCGGATCAGATTCGCACAGCCAGCACTGCAGTGAGAGAGAGTGAGCCAGGTAGGGGCAGAGAGCTGCGAGTGCGAGCGCCCCCCCCAGATGTTGCGCCCGGTGCGGCCGGCCCCCCCTGCACCCCCCACGCTACGCCACTGCAGTGCCCTATTCTGAATGGGGTTGCCATATTTCAAAAGTGAAAACGCAGACACAAAAGTTCAGTGCAAAGGCATGGCAGAATTTCCTCTAAAGCTGTGTAGACACTTTTTCCTTTAAATCACATTTGAAACACATTATTTGCCTCAAAGAATCCTGGGCACTGAAGTTTACCCCTCACAGCAACCCCTAAAAAGCTATAGCTTATGAGGGGGGAAATGTACTTTCAGAGCTTTATAAATTACGGCAGTTAGCAGACTTTAGCCTTGCAGGATCTACCTTGTTTCTTACAACTAGTCCAGAAGGTGGCACTGACTGCTCCAAGAGATCCTACACCCTCTAACTTCAGAACAAAAATATAATAATATCGCGTTGCCTATTTATACTTCACTGTAGCAATCAAGCATGACACAGTATACTAAATAAGCAATGATAATTATAACAATTCTCCATCTCCATCTCCATCTCCATCCCCTCCAACATTTCTCCGATGAAATATGGATGTCCCATTCCATAATGATGTTACTATTTATACGCGACACATCTTACTGGGTTGCCACAGCCATTCTGGACAGCTTCCAACATATATAAAAACATAACACACATACACACACATGCACACACACACACACACACACACACACACACATATATATATATGTCCCTATATAGCATTACCTTCAGACAGCTCGGGGGTTGGATAACTCCATACCCTCCAACATTTTTCAAATGAAAATGAAAATAGGGACATCCTGGGACATTCCGGGCTCATATCAGAAACCGGGATGGCTTCTCTAAACCAGGGACGTCCTGGCATATTTATATGGCGTGTTTTTAAATCCCTGCCTCGGGCATAGTCTGCCTCTACCATTCTCGACCTATTCGCAAGCATCTGGAAAAAAAAGCGCGGCAGGACTCCAAGCCCATAGAAGCCACACCCCGCGGGCTGCTAAAGACTACATTTCCCAAAGTGCCTTGAGAAGAGCATGCGCATTGAGGCGCTATGGGCTATATAAGAACCAACGGCGCGTTTCCTCGTTCTTTTCACATGCGGCTTCCGCGGAGGTAAGATGTCTTTTTGGGGAAGCGGTTGGGTGGTGGGGCTGGGGAATCCTTTGCCATCGGCTCCCTTCCTTGTTTATTACACGATGCGTGCTGGTTCGAGCTGTTCCTCAGAACCCCTTTAACCCCCTTCGCCCTATATTGACAGTTTTATTTTCTCGGTTAGGAAATCCGGGGCGGGGGCGGGTGGGAATGTTGCTTCGCATTTGAAGCTTTGAGTTTTGCAACCGAGGGCTAACTTGTTGCAGAGGGGAAGCTTTCTCGTTATTTTTCCTTCTTATCCGGGGCCCCCTCGCCTTTCCTATGGGGCCAGTTCACTTGCATGCTCTTAAAAGCCCGATTTTATTTAATCGCCCCTCCCCCCGCGTATCTCAACTTGCAGCCATACCGATCGGATCCTAACTGGTGCACATGATGACTTAAAACTTTTTTCCCCATCAGAGCGTCAGTGTTGATCTCTTTGCTGTTACAGCCAGAATCGTCTGATGCACCAGTGTTTTAACAGCGAGAGGGGAGGGCGGTTGAGAGTCTCTTGAGCCCAATTCATGCAGTTTGCAAGAGCAAATCTCTATCGGTTAATCTGACTGGTGGGTGCCTTTCCGTTTAGGGCGACGATGCCGCTAGGCATGCACAGAGGGAACTGCTGCAAAAATCGAGCTGGGCGCAAGGAGGCGATGGAGTCACCCGAAACCTGCACGCAGTCTGAGTACACGTGTGAGTTTCTGGCTTCAATTCTATTTTTCATGGAGACACCAGCCACCTATGATGTTTTAAAGGGTTTAAGTTTGTTAATATTACACATACAGAAGGCTGAAGGCCGCAATCCTCATTTTTCAGGAGTTAAACTTGTTGAACTCCATGAGACTTGCTTTTGAGTAAGTAAACTAGGATTATACTGCCTCTTACTCTAATGCAAACTCAGTAAATTCTGCTGGCTGCATTTCTAGATGTTAACGTGGTACTAAAGGGTGGATCTTCATAGTATGGAATGCTTTGAGCTAAGTTTTGTTTTGAGTAAACACCTTAAAATTCATAATAAAACTTAATTGAGCACACATGTGAGTGCCTGATTGTTGCCTATTTGTAAATATTTTTAAAGGAAAGATTGTGATTTTTGTGTAACACTATTTTGTACTGAAGTTTTCTGTTACTAGAGTAGCACATGGGTCAAAAGTACCTTTCAATAAGGAATCAACTCAGTATGTTGGTTTGGCCTCTGAGAACAGGGTGCTAGACTAGACTGCTTTTTGTAAACCCAAATTTGTGTATCTCTGCAGAATTAATACACAGTTTACAATATATTGGCTGCTACTGTATTTTTGAACCCACTGCCCACATGTTTCTGGCCATTGTGATTTGGTTAGGCAGCTTCATTGTCAAATTCATTTTGGTGCTGGACTCTCAGGCAGCTTTATGGTGGGCTTAAAAGGGGTCGCATAATGGAACCAAGTATTCCAGAATCCTGATGTATAGTTGCAATTTGTCCCTCAAACTGCTGCATACGGCAGCTGGATTTAATTCCAGGAATGGCCATGTGGCCGGAAGATAGCATTCATTCAGTTGAGGGCAGTTCTAACTTCTGTGCAATTTTTTTTAAATACACGTTTTATTAGTTTTTTTAACATATCATTTTCATCAGTAATTAAACATACTTTTACATCTTATTCAATTTTTTTGACTTCCATCAGTCCTGTCTGAAAATTTTCCGATCTAATCTTAGTATGCATTTCTTATTTTCCCTGTTTTTCAAACTCATAACCAATAACTCATATCTTTTTCTGCTTTGTAACACTTCTTATATTTCTCCTTACAAAACTTCTTGTAGTCCTACTAGCGTAATTTGTTGATTACAGTTGCTCTTCAAATAATTCAAACTTCTGTGCAATTTAAGCCTTCCTGTTGATAAAACATAAGATGGTTGAAAGTCCTTAAAACAGTAACTAGAAGTAGCCTTACAGTTTCTTGTGTGCGGCAGCTGTCTCTTCCTTGCTATGGTCTCTAGCTGATGTTTGTGATGACCAACACTTTTTTCCCCATCAGAGCGACACTGTTGATTTGTTGCTGCTTTAGCCAGATCTTTGTCTGACGACATCAGCATAATCTGTTTCTACAGCAGGCTACCCTTGGTTCGCAAATAAATAAAACAACAACTCTTTGGTTTTCTGTATCATTTTTAGGATCGGAGTGAGCCTGAAGTTTAATCATTGAGGTGGGCCCATGCAGAAGAGATGGGTGACTTGAAATAAAACCTTGAAAGGAGGACATCTTGCTCTGATCCTACACAAGAAGCATGGAAGGTAGAGGGTTTGCATTTTCTTGTTCTGTTTAATTTAGAAAAGATAACCTGAGTAGGGCATCTTAGGAATCTTACGCATGTTGTTGTAGCAGGGAAGTTGATGTGTAGCACTCTCAATTTTGGTTCTCCCCCACCCATCATCTTTAATTTCTTAATTCCTACAACATCTCAGATGGCAAGTCATCAGGTATGCCTAAGCAAGGACGTATACTCTGTATTAAGGCACATTTCCCCCATAACCCTTAAATCAACCCTAAAGTTGGCCAGTATTAAAGCCAATTATGTATATCCCACTTTTTCCCCCCAGAACCGGAACTCAAATGAGACTTGCAAAAATTAAAGCAAACACATCACACAGAAAGCTAAAAAGCTGTATAAGATAATAATTTAAAAAGTAATTAAACTATAATAAAATTAATATGACGTAACGATGGGAGTTGGGGGGTTAACGACGTGTGGAAGTTAAGTGTACCTAGTATAAATTAAGCAGACATGAATAAAAAACACAGGACTGGTTCCCACTAAGGTGGTAAACCTTAGGCTTCAAGTGGGTCTTTACATAATTGCTTCTCAGTCAGTTTTCTGTACATGGAAAACTTAGAGGGGTGGTGAGGGCTAGTCTGGAGGTCTCCCTGAAAGCCTCGTTTTCTGTATGCAGGGACTAAATAGTACAAAGAAGCCCATGATCATGCGAGGCCCCTTCAGGATATCATTCAGCCACAGATTGATCCCAGTGCGAAGTAAGCATCTGTGTATTGGATTAAACTGTCAGCCATACATTCTTCGCAGTCTTTGCAGGGTTGTACAAAATAGAACTTGGAAATCCTATTTTGAGTTTAGTTATTCCCCCGAAGTAGGCATAGCACTGGAAGCTCTGGTGTTGCAAGTGAAGTCAAAAGGCCCATTCATACGCAGTTTTATGCTCATGTTGACTCAGTCTTGTGTGAGCCTGTCCTCACTAAGCCTTGAGGCTTATGCACTCTCCTCCCATCTTGCGTGATACCCTGCTGCCCTGAAGCATGTGTTCATTTGAAAATTCACCGGTGCGATACAAAGCAAAATTTTCCCTTTCTTTACCATGCTCCCTGTTTCTTTTTTCAGACTGCAGGACCGTATGTCAGACTGAATGCTTGGGAGGATGGCAAGGGAAATTGTGAAGTCTTCCAAGTGCTGTAAGTTTTGCAAGACCAAATGGCCATTTAGAAGAGTGTGGCAGGGCGCTCACATGGCCATGGCGTGCTATTCAGTGGTACATGATGACTTAATCTTTTTTCCCCATCTTATCGGCAATGCTGATAAAACATGCGTTCTAGCCAGATGGTCTGATTCCACTGATGTCCAAATCTTACATTGCATGCTTTTGTAATGCACTTCAAAGACAGAAGCCTAATGTAAATATTCTGCTATAAATGCACACTGCTTGCTGGATTTTCATGATGGGAGCATGAGGGTTGTGGATAATGAGAAGGTGCAGGCAACTTCCCCAAGACTGCTGACCTCTTGATTCTTCGGTTTAGTACGTAACTGGTGCAGGAGGGTAGATTTGAGATCTGCCTACCTAGTGTAATGTACATACCTATTGAATGGTTATTGCACTTGTGTGAATAGATGGATAAATGCTTTCCTTGCCTTTGAATAGCTGGCCAGTTTTATAAAACAATTCAAACAACAACAGTTTCGTGCTGTAGGAGCTAATGTAGCAACCTTTATTTGTTGAGCCCTTTACTGTTTTGGCTTCAGGGTAGATTTAAGAGCCCCTAAGGAGGAGATAAGTTTTGTTGTTTAGTCGTGTCCGACTCTTCGTGACCCCATGGACCAGAGCACGCCAGGCACTCGTGTCTTCTACTGCCTCCCACAGTTTGGTCAGACTCATGTTTGTAGCTTCGAGAACACTGTCCAACCATCTCGTCCTCTGTCATCCCCTTCTCCTTGTGCCCTCCATCTTTCCCAACATCAGGGTCTTTTCCAGGGAGTCTTCTCTTCTCATGAGGTGGCCAAAGTATTGGAGCCTCAGCTTCATAGCCATCTTCAAATATTTTAAGGGCTGTCATGGAGGAAGAAGCCTGCTTGTTTCGGGGTGCAAAGCAGCTGCTCTTTGTCACGTAAGCCAGGAAGCCTTTTTTGCTGTTGCAAGCATTCATTAATAGAATAAAATGGTCATCCCCTCAAGCAGAAGGAAGACATAAGTTAGTAACACAAGTGGCTTTGTTGGCACATGAGCATGGTAATTAACTTATTCCTACCTGCGGTCAATGGGTGGCTAAACCTTCTCGGTTTCTTTCAACAGGCACAAGGGTTCCTGGTTCTTGGAATGGATGGCTTGAAGCAGAACGGCTGAGACTTGAAGGGGAAATCATTTCAGTGTCCCATGAGTGCTGCTGTACAATAAATGCATGGTTTTGCACCGTGGCAAATTAAAAAGCATCTTTGAGTTTTCAATGGTGGCACGGGGTAACATTCTCCTCTCCTTCCCCAGGAACATTCCTCGGTTTGCTGGGCTCGTCCTGACGCTGTTTCACCAGGGATTGCCATCATTTAGAGAAGGGGCAGTTGGGGGCAAGTCTACAGCTGTATGGGAAAGTGCACATTTTTAGTGTGCGTAAACAACCCAGGTTTTATAGCATTTCCTGTTAAAAAGTATGTCAGTTGCAGATGCCTACTGGGGCAGACAGTCTTATAGTTGTACATATTCAGTGCTACTCATCCCACAAATACAGGCTGCATTTCACAAGTACACATTTATTTAATGTTGCTGTTCAGTGCCTTACCAGCACTGTTCCCATTCTCTCCATTTAAGTCAGGCACAGGCAAATTCGGCCCTCCAGATGTTTTGGGACTACAATTCCCATCATCCCTGACCACTGGTCCTGTTAGCTAGGGATGATGGGAGTTGTAGTCCCAAAACATCTGGAGGGCCGAGTTTGCCTATGCCTGATTTAAGTGGTTGGGTGCAACTCTTGCATAGCTAGCAGGTAAGAATATTGTGGAAGGGAATGTCCTAGGAAGGACCCCACAATTCTATATAGGTCACCGCAGATGGAGGGCTATCCTGATGGCAGCTCATTGCATTTCTGCACACACTCCATCCTGTGTGTTGAGCTTAGGTGCCCTGTTTTAGTAGGCTAGGAACTTAATGGGACTGATTTTACAAAAAAACTTCAGTAAGTTGCCTGTCTTCCAAAACTGGAATGATTCCACACACCTGTGATTCTTGATTGGGATCCCTGAGGGGACATTGTGCCCACAAAGCTCTTTTGGGGGAAGAAGGTGTTGCTACTTTGAGACTCTTGTATATGAAACTTTCCTGTCTGTATAGCAAATAGCATTGAAGTCTTCATTGACCTTGCTAGGAAAAGCTAGGAGCTTGTCTGCTGTAGTCGGAGTGTTTTGAGTGCAGATAAGAGAGCAGGCCAGGAGGACAAACCTCGCCAGATGTTTTGGCAGTGGGTAGACAGGTGTAGAAGACTCTGGGAATAAACAAGCTAGGAGCTTAATTGTCTTCCATAAGCTCACTTGACAGTCCAAATGGTGCCTTTTATCACAATCTGCCATGCTTAATGTAGTATAGGGAGGACATCTGTACATCAAAATCGCATTCCTCTTAGGTGAGGCTAGTCACTTGTATTGCTGTATTTAACTTGTGCTCAGAGCAGCCCTGCAAGGCACCTCCTTTTTTTACCATTTGACATGAGACACTGATGTGTGTTTCACCAATCAGGTTTGGGTTCAGTTGCTGTTATATACCCACATCTTGAAATTTATGGCATTTGGGTGTCAAGTTTCCCCAGGACTTGGCAAAAGCATTTTGTCTCTAATTGGCTCTGGGCCAATAGATGCCGATCTTTATTCTCCTACATAAGGATCTGATTGCTATGCTGTTTACCCACTTAGAGAATGCCTCCAATTGGAAAGACTCCAAAGCAGGGGTCGGCAACTTTAACAAAGCATGTGGCTTTTTAACACCTTTGCTGCGGCTCCGGGGAGGAGGCGCATTTTCCGGGTGGAAACACGCAAAAAGCCGCTTACAAGTGGATCACTCCCTTATCTACCGGGGGCGCCTTCATCGCGCCGAAAACCTCTCCGTTTGGATTGCTTGCTGCCTATCCAAGTCGATTCGCTGCTGGGAGCCCAGCGCGCTACGCAAGCTCATCGCCGCATTTTACCTTTCCTGGGGAGGACTCTGCGTGCCTGGCGCATCAGGTTGTGGGGTACTTTTATTTCAAGTCGAGGTCGCGTGGAATTTGTGCTTCGTGACCGTTTGAAGCGGGGGGGGGGTTCTTGGGAGGCTGGGCGGTGCGAAGAGAGGGAGGCTTGTGGTAGCGTCGGGGCTTGTCTCTAGCAACGTAAGTCCTCGCTATTTGGTCACACGCGCAGCATTCTCCTTGTGGGGGTGAGGTGGCTTCGGCGCTGCAACGCTTGCTTTGTGGGCTGCTTTCTTTAACGCGGAAGGTTGAGGCTCTAAAAGCGTCGGAAGCAGCTGTGCTGTTGCTGGGTAACCAGATCGTCCCGGCAGCCATCTTATCTGCCCACGTGGTCTTCTGAGGCGGCCGCCATCTTACTATAGGCAATTCCACATGGGAGTTAGTTGCCTTAAGCCCCTTTTTAGTTGCTTGAAGCCCCTTTTTAAACTTAAGCAGGGGAAAGTTTGGTGAATAGCTAACGCTTTCCTTGGGGAATGTTATGCAACAGCTTCTTGCCAGTCTTTGTCGTCCTGCCTTTGTAAGCAGGCTGCATTGAAAGGGGGCATGTACGCTGGTCACTGTTTTGAAGGGGAGTGAAGAACACACACTCAAAAAAAGGTAACTTCTTAATTTAACGTTTATTTCTATGAGGAGGAGTAATTCTGAGGGGTCAAACAAAGAAATAATAAAAAGTGTCAAAAAAGGTATTTTTATAATGACGAGGATGGCATTGGGCCCTCATTATTAATTATTATTTACATCAGGCACTGATTATGATTTATGGTACACTGGGGCCCTGATTAATTTTCTGTGGCAATTTGGGGCATTGATTATTGGGCATAGCAAATTTTGCTATGGGGCCCTCTGATTTCTAATTACGTCCCTGTTTTGGACCCCCAGTAGGCCAGCCATGGATAAAGGCAAGAAAAGAAAAATTTCTGAAGAAAACAGAATGTTTAATGATACATGGACAGAATCATTTGCATTCTCTACTGACAAGACTGGTTTACCAGTATGCTTAATATGTGGTGAGAAATTTGCAAACAACAAAAAGTCAAATATTGCAAGACATTTCCAGAATAAACACACAGCCTTTGCTGAAAAATATCCAGATGGAGATCAGAGACGAAAAGCCGTTGTAGAACTTATGAGGAAGGTTGATAGGAGCAAAAATAATTTCAAGAATTGGGTGAAGTCTGCAAATTCCACAACATATGCTAGTTTTGTAGCCGCTCAGGAAATAGTCAAGCACGGGAAGCCGTTCACAGATGGAGATTATATAAAAGAAGCATTCATTAAGATTTCGAACATCTATACATGGACTTCAAAAACAAGAATGAAATTGTGCAGAAAATCAAAGACATGCCTCTGTCTGTGAAGACTGTTAAAGACAGAACCCTAAAAATGGCAGAAAACATTAGCAAACAGCAAATTCAAGACATTAATTCAGCTGTGGCGTACTCCATCGCCTGTGATGAGTCCAAAGATAAAGGTGATATTGAACAAATAGCACTGTTCTGCCGATATGTGAACTCTTTTGGGCCACAGGAAGAACTGATTGAGCTGATACCACTAAAAGACCAAACAAGGGGTGAGGATATCTGTAAGGCTGTCCTGGACTTTTTAAGTGCTTAAAAAATAAACACCAACCACCTGGTCTCAGTGGCTACTGATGGGGCACCGAGCATGAGAGGAGCACAGAAGGGCTTTGTGGCTCTACTGCAGAAGGCACTGGGTAGAACGCTGCTGTCATTTCATTGCATCCTGCACCAAGAGGCATTGTGTGCTCAAACATTTCCCCCCGAATGCACAAAAGTGATGGATGTGGTCATTCAGATTGTTAATAAGATAATGGCAAAGGGTTTAAACCACCGCCAGTTGCGTTTGCTATTGGATGAGGTGGAAAGCACATATTCTGACCTCCTGCTCCACAACAAGGTCCGGTGGTTGTCCAGAGGCGAGGTGCTAAAACGCTTTGTCACATGTTTGGAAGAAGTAAAAACCTTCCTGGCCAGCAAAGAGCTTACCTTTGCTGAGCTGGAACAGCCAGAGTGGCTGGAAAAATTACATTTTATGGTAGACATGACAGCCCATCTAAACACGCTAAATACATCCCTTCACGGGAAAGGAGGCGCAGCCCTGCCCATGCTGGAGGAGGTTTTGGCATTCGAGCGCAAGTTGACAGTGTTTGTCAAAGATTTCCAGAGAGGTACACTGTCTCACTTTCCCTCTTTGAGAGAGTTCAAACAAAGTCATGATACGATAAATTTGGAATATTTCAAGTCTGCAATCACCGCAATGCAAAGCTCGTTTGGGAAACGATTCTGTGGGTTCAGAGAAGAAAAAACACATTATCCTTCCCTGTCACTCCCCTGGCGATCGATCCATCCCTATTGAATATGACTGCATTTCCAGGTGTAAGTCAACCTGATCTTGAGCTGGAACTGGCCGATATAGCTGACAAAGATATATGGGTGTCCAAGTTCAAATGCTTGACCGCTACTCTTGAGGATGTTGCCTGTCAGAAGGCCATTCTGGCTCAGAATCATAAATGGAGTGATATTGAAAACCTTCCCAAACAGGACAAACTTGTATTCGAAACATGGAATGCCATCCCCAACACTTATATAAACATGAAAAAGTATGCATTTGGAGTCCTGTCGATCTTCGGTTCCACATATGTATGTGAGCAGGTCTTCTCCAACATGAACTATATTAAAAACAAACATCGATCACGCCTCACAGATGACAGCTTGCAAGCCTGTGTGAAAATGAAGGTGACGTCTTACAGCCCTGATGTGCAGACACTGAGCACTGAGGTTCAGGAGCAAAAGTCCCATTAACCTGGTTACCTGGTTGTAAATTAAATATTTTAATTAGCTATTAATTTGTCCTTTTTTTTCTTGAGATTGACAGCTGACTGCACGATCCTGTATATATAGCATTCAGGTAAGAAACAATATATGCAGTGTTATATTTGTTTTAAATGTCGCAATGGTTTTGCGGCTCCCAGTTGTTGTTTTTCTTCGGAAACGGGTCCAAGTGGCTCTTTTTGTCTTAAAGGTTGCAGACCCCTGCTCCAAAGGATCACCTCTGATAGGATGGCAAAGAAAAGTTTGGGATCTGGCTTTTATCCAGTCTGTAAATAGCAGTGGTGTTGATGTAAGACCTCCAGCTACTCAAGCTTGCTTATGAAGAGACTCATGGATAGTTGAAGTCTTGATTATGTATTTAGTTATTTGACAATGTCCCCACTCAATTTTTCTTTTTATGTGTGATTGATACAAGCGTGCAACACATCACAGGTTTTGTTGGAGCTGATCAATGCTATTTTGCTACAAAATCAATAAAACATTCTACAGAGAGAGAAGAGACTAGCCGATTGTACAAAGGTAAAATTCACATTCATTGCAGTGCCCACTTTTGCCTTTGATAGGGACGCAGGTGGCACTGTGGGTTAAACCACTGAGCCCAGGAGTTGCCGATCAGAAGGTCAGCGGTTTGAATCCCTACGACGGGGTGAGCTCCCCTTGCTCGGTCCCTGCTCCTGCCAACCTAGCAGTTGGAAAGCAAGTCAAAGTGCAAGTAGATAAATAGGTACTGCTCCGGCGGGAAGGTAAACACCGTTTACGTGCGCTGCCCTTGGATTGAAAAAGGTTCGTTCACCCCTGACCTAGATCGTGATCGCCTTGCAAAGATGATGCTGGTTTTTCTGTGAAGGACAGAAGATTGTTATTTTGGCTGTCCACAAGTTGACTTAAAAATGTTGCTGCATCTGTTACCCTCTTCGTTGGTAGGTGGTTGCAAAGTGTAAGCACACAGCTGAAAAGTGGAAGAAATACTGATGGAATCCAAACTTCTGATGGCCTTTAAAATGCAGCCTTGTTAATTATGTGCCCGCTAGTCAGTGCATAATGAATAGGCCTTGGCATGGTTATTATTTAGGGTAATTGCATTCTGAGGGGCTGCTGCAATATTCAAATCTCAATGGAAGGGGGAGGCGGGTACAGAACATGTTTGCCCTTGGCCCTGTGTGTTAGATAAGGTGTCAAAAAAAAAAAAAAAAGATTCACTAAAGCTCTTTCCAATTATGTGGATTGATTATTTTCCCCCTCATTAGCAACTGCAGTAGAAATAACTGAAGTCTCCCAATTAAACAAGGTAATATTTACCATTTGCAGCAGTATGAGCCTCTCCAGTCAAACTAATGGTGCATAGGACAGCTGTAATTGTTTGAAGGTGCAACTTGTTATTTGTGGCACTGCAGGAGTGAGAGAGCTCAGGTACATGGGAAGATGGGTGTAGCAATTCACATGTTCTCCAGGGTTGCCAACTAACCAGAAAAATAGCATCATAGCCTTAGCCTGCTGTGTTTTATAGAAGTTTGATCCCAAGAAATTCGGCAGCTGAAATTGAATGGCATCAGTATATATAATTTTTACTTATGTATGTCTGCAGATGAAGCACCTGTTAAAGGCCCAGCGATGTTAGGGCAATATAAAAGCTGGCAACTGTAGCATCTGTACAACTTCTGACGGTTCTCGCACTGCGAGGTTACAGGGAACCAGGCAGAGGGCCTTCTTGGTAGTGGCTCCTGCCCTGTGGAACTCCCATCAGATGACAAGGAAATAAACAACTATCAGACTTTTAGAAACAGGCAGCCCTGTTTAGGGAAGTTTTTAATGTTTGAAGTTTTATTCTGTTTTTAGTGTTCTGTTGGGAGCTGCCCAGAGTGGTGGGGAAACCCAGCCAGATGGGCAGGGTATAAATATTATTATTTATTACTTATTATTATCATTAACTTGAGATCCACCAAATGCAGTGTAGCCCATCAACCATGTGTAGTGAGGCCTCCTGGTCTTGTCTCCTTGAGAGAGAAGTTGGAAGGAGTTGGGTATGCTTTTATGCCTGGTAGATCGGCTGCAATGATGGCAGTTCAGCTTCTTTTCTTCATAAGTTGCAAGTTGTTTGCAGCTATCTAAGTGTTTGTGTGTGTGTGTGTGCATGCGTGCGTGCAGGAGAATGATGTAATGGCTTGAGTTCTGCCAGTGGAAGCAGACTGTGGGACCTTGCGCTTATAAAACGCTGGCAACAGTTCCTGAAAGCTTTTATTTCTAATAAAGACAACTTGTCAGTAGGTATGCACAAGTCAGAAATGGGCAAATGAAGTGTCGTATATTAATTGCTAGGGATGTAATGCAAAAACCTGCATTTGCTTGTGAGTCTGCAGGGGGCACTGTGTGCACACTTTTTGCTGAGATTTCCCTTTGATCTGATTGCCTCTTGCCCATTCCTCCTTCTGTGAATTATGGAGTTCATTTCAATCTGCCAAGTCATCTCTCTGTTCTGTGTTGGTGCTTTCTCCTTGTCACTAGACCGACGGATGCCATAAATAAATTATCTGACCAAAAGGTTGCAAGGTTTTTAGCTGGGGCAATCAAAATAAGATCCACTATTTGACTATTGATTGAAAACCCTAAGATTTATTTATTATAATTGACTTTTTATTTCTATTCTTTGTATATCGTATTGTTGTTTTATTGCTATGGCTGATGGCTGACGCAAATAAAGATTCATTCATTCATTATCTGACCAATAGATCATGGACGGTTTTAAAACAATGTTCTTACTTTTTATTAATAAGGGGCCAGTGGGAGGGAGGGGAGACTCCCTATTTGGCATGTAGCCTTGGAAGAAAGAATTTGCCCATTAGCCTGAACTCTGAAGGACCTTTAGGTTCTGAGTTACCCGAAGTGGTTAATGCCATCTGCAAATATTTTAGGGAAAGGTTCCTTTGACACAACCCAATAAATGTTCATCACAACAAAGTCCCTTTGAAATAAATGACAGTACTGTACAATCAAATGCTCAAGGCTGCAGTTCTGTGCAAGCAGCGTTTCAGAGACAGTCTGGTGTAGTAGTTAGTGCTGGACTGGTACCTAGGAGACCAGGGTTTAACTCCCCACCCAGCTCATAGCTACTATAGTTTGTATGTTCAAACAGATATGTTTTCTGGTTCCACTGGGGAAGATAGTACAAAATATAGCTTTGCCAGACATTGGAATTTCTTCTTTCAATAAGCAAGGAATAATTTAAGATTTATATTCCCTTCCCCAGACTCGACTCTTTCTAAGCACATGCTGGGGGTTATATTTAGTCTCCCAGCGCTCAGCAGGATGGCTCTAATAAGAGAGAGAGCATTCGACCTATTCACTCAGTGCATCGTTCCTTTTTCATCCGGACACCCTGTGATCTTATGCATGTTTTACTTGGAAGTAAGTCCCATTGATTTCAGCGGAGCTTACTCCCACATCATAAGTGTATACAGGATTGTGGACCCAGTTGACTTCCTTCCTGGAAAGAAGGATGGGCTCCTGACGCATCAATTTTGTTGATGGTCCTTTCTGATCCACCCCACCCAACGTTATCAGTCAGATTTGTTAGATTTTTGCAGCTGTTCTAGGCAAGGACAGGATGTCCTGCCCTTTGATCTGCCCGTGTTGCACAGTTGAAACATTCTACTTCGTGCTGATGTGCTTATCAACATGGCTTTTGGATTGTTCAGCTTTTCTGTCCACCAGTTGTGTTGGAATGTAGGCATAGCCTCGAATGCATTACAATAGTACCTCGGGTTAAGAACTTAATTCGTTCTGGAGGTCCGTTCTTAACCTGAAACTGTTCTTAACCTGAAGCACCACTTTAGCTAATGGGGCCTCCTGCTGCCGCTGTGCCACCGGAGCACGATTTCTGTTCTCATCCTGAAGCAAAGTTCTTAACCTGAAGCACTATTTCTGGGTTAATAGAGTCTGTAACCTGAAGTGTATGTAACCCGAGGTACCACTGTACAAATACATTGAATTGCAATGCATTTGAGGTTATGCTTGCATGCTGCTTTCACTCACCTGCCTTTCTAGAACTACTTCCCAGTCCTGGGGCACCTGTAGCTTGTGATGATTGCCAGTGCCCCAGACCTGGCTGCCACCTTTCTTTATGGACCTGAACCCCCAGCTTAATTCTGTTTTAAAAAAAGGATTCTAGGTTGTCAGTTTGTCATCCGTAGATGGCATTAGTTCTTTAAGAGCTCTGGAAAAGAGAATAAAGCCAAGACTTCTGCCATCATTGCCGGCCCTCTCTCTTACCTGGTGTGGGGCAGTGTAAGCATTCTGCTTGCTCTAGCAGTATGGAGGGAAGGTGGATGATGGGATTGCCCTGATTTGCATAGGAATTCCCCCCCCCAAAAAAACTGTACATCACTGTAGAAGGTATTGCCTTCCTCAGTTTGATCTTTCCTTGCTATTGTGTTTTGAACTTTCCCTCTCTGAGAGAGTTGGTCCCGTCATGGATTATGGCAGATCACTGTCATGCTCAGATGGTTCACTTTGGTCTGCGCAGGATGTACACGCATTGAACTTCATTCCTCAAAACAAGTCTAGATTTGTCCTCGGTGCCCTACTTAGCAAGCACACGCTCCCTGGGCAATTCTGATGTTCTTATGCAAAGTTGACCACAGCTTTAGCCTAACCTCTACTGTATCTTGCAGAAGCCAAAGAATAAATGAGAAGAGGAAGCCGAAGCAGCAGGAGCCTTCCCCCCCTCCCCCGAGGATTGGTCAATTTAATTAATCAGCTTTTGGAAAATGAGCTGTGTGTGTATGAAGGACGACAAGCTTCTTTCATCATAGCTTGCTCTGCTTGTTGGTTGAAAATGGTACATGAAATGACCCTCACTGTAGAATCCTGTAATGCAGGAATCTCAACTAAAGCATCCATGACAGATGGCCATCCAACCTCTGCTTGAAAACTTCCAAGGAAGGAGAGTCCACCACCTCCCAAGGGAGACTGTTCCACTGCCTAACAGTTCTTGCCATCAGAAAGTTCTTCCTGATGGTTAGTAACTTAAGACCTGTGATTTGTGCCTAAATGTATGTGTGTGCGCGCAAACAGATAAAATCTTGTTTGCAATGACATAGGCTGTCAAGTCAGACTATTGGCCCATGCAGCTGAGTCTTGCCTCCACTGGCTGGCAGCAGCCCTCCAAGGTCCTAACTATATGAAGATGCTGGAGGACTGAGCCTGGGACATTTGCATAAAAAGCATGTGCTCTTTCACTGACCAATTTAGCCCTTCCCTCAAAACCTCCCCTTGGCCCAGTCGCATGGGTGATGACGTGGAGGAGAAATTTTGCCCGCTTTGCAATAGTCTCCCGTGGTGTACTGTTTTTCCTTCCACGCCCCAACAAAAAATGAATGAAAACCATTTACTCAAAGTGGTACTTTTAGGATTACCCTTGGAGGTAAGGGTTGAACCAGCTCCCCACTGATGACCTCAGTGACTTCCTCCAAAAATAATTAAAAGCTGCTCTTACCTGAATATTCATTTTGTATCTTGGTCACAGCAGAGTGTTGGAAGCGTACTTATTACAGGAGCTCAAGGAGCAGCCCCATCTTACCAGAGCCCCAGAGGCAGGAATTGGGTCCATGCTGGGATGCGTGGAAGAAAAGGGAAGACTGAAGGGAAAGATACAGGTAGGTAGCCATGTTGGTCTGCTGTAGTCGAAACAAAATAAAAAAATTCCTTCTAGCAGCACCGTAAAGGTAAAACGACCTTTGACCATTAGGTCCAGTCGTGACCGACTCTGGGGTTGTGGCCCTCATCTCGCTTTATTGGCCAAGGGAGCCGGCGTACAGCTTCCGGGTCATGTGGCCAGCATGACTAAGCCGCTTCTGGCGAACCAGAGCAGCGCACGGAAACGCCGTTTACCTTCCCGCTGGAGCGGTACCTATTTATCTACTTGCACTTTGACGTGCTTTTGAACTGCTAGTTTGGTAGGAGCAGGGACTGAGCAACAGGAGCTCACCCCGTTGCGGGGATTCGAACCCCCGACCTTCTGATCGGCAAGTCCTAGGCTCTGTGGTTTAACCCACAGCGCCATCCGCGTCCCTAGTAGCACCTTAGAGACCAACTAAGTTTGTTATTGGTATGATCTGAAGAAGTGTATCTGAAGAAGTGTGCATGCACACGAAAGCTCATACCAATAACAAACTTAGTTGGTCTCTAAGGCGCTACTGGAAGGATTTTTTTTTTATTTTGAAGGGAAAGAGTTGCTGCAGGAGAAGCGTCATATGATGGTGACAGCTGGAAGCTAGAGTCTCCTATCAGTCACTTCCCATGAACCTACTCATGTATAAAGGCCTGCTACTCGCAAGCAAGGCTGAGAAGTCAAGAAATGGACACGGGAGGCTGGGGTGAGGCTGATGGGGAAGGTGATTCATGGTCCTCCCTTGCCAGAGATGAAAGCACCCCAGTGAGTCAGAGACAAGAGTCTTGGAGACGGAACAGCATGGGGACAACCTTCTCTCTGGCTGAGGACCTGCCAAGTTTCATAAATTGGCTCATATTATTTATGGCAGGGATAGAGAACCTGCAGACCTCCAAACGCTGAACCACATCTCCAGCTGTCTTGGGCTGGGGACCATGCTGGCAGAGGCTGCTTGGAGTTGGAGTCTAACAATATATGGATCAGGGGGTGTGGAAAACTTTTTGCAGCCTGAGGGCCATGTTCCCTTCTAAGCAAGCATTTGGGGGCCGCTTGCCAGAGCTGGGTGGGGCCAGAGGCAAAAAGTGGGCAGAAAAATGAATGTAAATTTTAACTGTGTGTATAATAGGCTGGTTTCTATGCACAGTTCCACACCTATCTTCTATCCGGGCAAGCAAAAGGCATTGTTGGACTGTGTTGGACATTTACCCTGTCCCTGAAGAATCCTAAGAACCATCGTTTACCCGTTCCCAGACCTTCCATTCCAAGTACCCTTAACAAACTAGTTCCTAGGATTCTTTGGGGATGGGTGTGCATGTGGCCTCAGAGTTCAAGGACACATTCCAGGCAGAAACACCCGAGAATGGGGCAAAGTGGGGCCAATAAGGGCTGGGGCTGGGGGAAAGCCCTGAGGGTGAGACAGAAGCCCCTATAGGGCTGCATTTCACCCAGGCCTGAGGCTCTCTGCCCTTAACTCACAGTGATATGGGACCAGGGAGAAGAGTTGATGGAGGAAGATTGGAAGAAATTCAAAGACTATCTTCAGAAACACTGCAAAATTAAGGAATGTTAGAGTGATGTTGGACTGAAAACAAGTGGTTTCCAGCTGTACAGGTTAAAGTTAATGATAGACTAAGACTAAAGATTAAGATTAAAGATGTTTAAAGAAATGGAAATTTGATATTAAGAGGGAAAATTTTAATGGTATATGATACTAAGACCAAAGATTAGGTTTAAAGAAGTTGAAGTTATATATTTTAATATCTTATCAAACTAAAGATTGGGATTAAAAAAGTGGAAAAGAAACTGCTGGACAAATAATTTGGATTGGAATACAAAAGAGGGAGGTATGAGGAAGTCCAGAAAATAAGCAACTAAAAAACAGAAATGAAACAGAGATACTGTTTTTAATTGTTATGTTTCTTGTATTTTTATTGTTGAATCTTGCTTTTTTTTGTTTTTTTGTGTTTTTGTTATATGTATTGTGTATGTTTTTCTTCTATTTCTTTGTTGTTTAAAACTTTAATAAAAATTACTTTAAAAAAAAAAATTAACTCACAGTGATATGGGACTCCGCAGGATGGTTAATTATAGCGCTCCCTGCCCTTTTAACCCAGTATTAAATGCCGAGCAGAACCGGGGTTTCGTTTCTGCATAAAGAGAAGAAGAAGAAACTGGGACGGCAATAACGTCAACTGTCAAGAAAAGACCACGTAAGGGAAGGGGTTTTCCCTGGGACAATGGCTGAACCTGGCCTCTCTGCAGCCCCCATATAATCTTCTTGTCATCTCGCTTGGAACACAGTTATTCTTGGAGCCCAAAGCGAGCAGGGGAGGAAATCTCCAGGGGAGCAAACTCCCAGGCTTTGTTTCGTTACAATAATCACCGGGCGCTCAAATTTCCCAGCATAGGAAGGCTGATGAAGAGCTTAGTTAAAAAGTCTTTGGGAGAGCTGTAACAACAAAAAAAAGCACATTACCAAAGTGCTCCAATTGGGAGGGATTTCCTGCATTTGTTGGGCTTCAAAAACTGTCATGCCTGTTTCCATTGCTGCTGTTTCCCCAGACCCCACCTGAACATACGTCTTCCTTGAGTTGTGGGTGGTGGAATCAAGAAGGAGCAACAAAAGCTCTGTGCTGGGGGGAAGGAATCAACCTTGGGCATATTCTGATAGTTTTCTGTCCAGCACTTGGTGCTGTGCAAGAAGCAAACCAGGAATGTTTTCCTTGCAAGATCTGTAATTGATGCCACTTGTGATGTCAGCTGATGGGTTGGTAACACTGAGGGGGGGCAACACTGAAGATGTCCGGATTGGATAGGCGCATGTGCATTATTGTATGTACTGCTCCTCCTTTGGATGTGTGGTGTTTGTGTGTGCAATCATGGATCAACACAATTGTCTGAATTTTTGGAATCTCCTTGGGGACAATAGCTATTGTCTCAGGCTGGATCTAGACACATCAAAGAAGTGTTTCAATTAAACGTGTTGTAAACTCATACAGGGAAATCCGGTAGGGAAAGATGGGGCCCCACAGCGCCATCTGGTGTTGTAGTGTTGCATATACAACACATATAAAATGCTTTGTTTTTACCATTCTAGCTGAGTCCCCTGTGAATTCCTGCACTTCAACGTTTTCCTAGTCTACCACTGGATATTTGTTCCCAGCTCCCTGTCCCACTGTATGGTCATTGCAAGCCCCAAATTTCTGAACTCTCTAGCCACAATCTAACAAAGTTCAGCACAGGCCCATTACATGTCTGCCAGTAGAGTTTGGCTGAGGATCAGTTTCACCTTGAAATGTCAATAGTTGTGAGCCAGTGGGTTATGTTCTGTGAAGGGCTCCAGAAGACCCAGGTTCAACCTCTGGCATCTTCAAGTAGAGCTGAGAAGACTTCTGTCTTTTAATCCCTGGAGAGCTGGGCTGCTGTGAGTCAGCTCAGATAATATTGAGCTAGATGGAGCAGTAGTCCAGGCCACAACCATTTTGAGAGCATTCAATTGATGCATGACTACCGACATGCGGGGAGTCATTTTGGACCCGAAAGAGGGCAGAAAGGGGGTGGAACATAATGAGGCAGGGCAGGCTTGTTCCTGCTCTGCTGACACACACAGGGGGGCCAGGAACGCAACCTCCACACAAATTGGGGTTTCCTGTATAAGGCAGTTTCTTATATTCCTCCCTAATGTCACCTCTGGCTTTCTTTTCACTTGGCCAACGCAACCTGAGAATTGGCGAAGGGATTTCCCTCTCTCTTCCCAATTATCTGCAGAGATAACAAGGAGGAATGACTGCCATTCAGAGGGGCTTGCAATGCCCATTACTCTTGCTCATTTAACATGTTATTTAAAAGTCCCCCGTTCTTTTGGAGTGCAATTATTTAAAGTCTAGTGACCCCATTTGTCACTGACATTTCCCCTCTGTTTTTCTTTTAAGGTTCTCATCTACCAGACAGTACTGAGTGAATATGGCTATCGTGATCAAAGAAACCTGTGTGGTGTGGATAATTTCCCCCCCTCCTTCTGATATCACTAGAACTCGTGGACAGGTGAATGTTGGAAGATTCAGGAAAGAGGATAAAGGACTTCTTCATGCAGAACATGGTTTAACTATAGAACCCGTTGCCCCAGGAGGCAACAATGGCCACCAGCCTAGAAGAGGCTTTAAAAGAGGATTAGACAAATTCATGGAGGAGAGGGCTACTAGCCATGATGATGGATGCCATCATGCTTATGAAGACCTGTTGCTGGAAACCACAGGAGGCAAGAATGCTCTTGTGCATGACTCCTACCTGCGGGTTTCCTAAAGGCATCTGGTTGGCCACTGTGAGAACAGGATTCTGGACTAGACAAGGCCATTGGCCTGATCCAGCAGGCTCCTCTTACGTTCTGAAAAAAATACAACAGTTTTATTCACCTGAACTGTAGCTAACAATATTGTGACAATGGGGCATTAACTGCAGGAGGTAAAGGTAAAGGGACCCCTGACCATTAGGTCCAGTTGTGGCCGACTCTGGGGTTGCGACGCTCATCTCGCTTTATTGGCCGAGGGAGCCGGTGTACAGCTTCCGGGTCATGTGGCCACATGACTAAGCCGTTTCTGGCGAACCAGAGCAGCACACGGAAACGCCATTTACCTTCCCGCCGGAGCGGTACCTATTTATCTACTTGCACTTTGACGTGCTTTCAAACTGCTAGGTGGGCAGGAGCAGGGACCGAGCAATGGGAACTCACCCCGTTGCAGGGATTCGAACCGCTGACCTTCTGATCGGCAAGTCCTAGGCTCTGTGGTTTAACCCAGGTACCCACAGTGCCACCTGCGTCCCAACTGCAAAATGCAAGCACAATGGTGTGGGTTTAAATGTATTTGCTTGAACATTTAATCAGTGGTGGCTCAGGGATTAGAGAACATGGCCAAGGATCAGTGCTGATGGGGAGTTGCAGACTCCCATAGTTTGGTGTTGCATCTGAATCCAACCCCTACATCTGTCCTATGGAATGGAAGCTATTTTTAAAATGTTGTTGCTGGCTTTTTCAAAAGCATTTTCTTGCACTGGAAAATATTTCCCAAAGAACCAAACCAAAACCTTAGAGGCTTTAAGAGCTGTATCTACCTCTAAATCAGAAGGGTGATCCTTTGCTTTCATCGCTGGGGAATAAAGCGAGAGAGTTGACAATGCATCTTCCAAGTGCATTTTGTGTGTTTTTCTTTTCGCCTAAAAATAGATCAGCCACTTTGGACTTGCTCCAGTTTCCAATGGGAAATTCTCGCCCTCCATAGATTCCAGTGGAAGCCAGTAATTTTCTCCCACCCTTTTCACCCAAGACCAGCCAGAATCTGCCGAGTCCCTGTAGTGCATTAAGTTATTAATTTCATATATAAGGAGCTTCCCATTTACAATATAATAACATATACTGTTAAAACAATCACACACACAAATTATAAATATAGAAACAGGTTAAAATGACAATAGCACATACAAAAAAAATCAGATCAAATCCAAGAGCAAATGAGAGAGCAAAACTAAAGAA